TAAACAAACATTTAATTTGTAACAGTCTGTTGATCAATGCCATGTAAATACAAAATTAGGGTTCACCTTGTCTTTTTGTTATGTGTTCTTTTCTTTTAGTTCATTGAAAGAATTGTTCCAAAAGTTTACCCTTTTCAAGTCTTTATATTGGCGACCTCTAAAAAATTTATTTTCGCTTTTCTAATAAGAAATTAATCTTTCTTTGCCCTATTATGTTAGGGCGAACAAAATAAAGCTCACCAATCAGAATTGCACTTTTCGAAATTTGTGCTTTCATTAGTACTGGCACAATATACAAAACAAGTATTATTTGGGTCATGGACCATGAACATCAAAACTAAAATTCTAGTCAGAGGCCAGTTATCATTTTTAGCCTACGTCAGACTCAGGGTACATAAAAGGGTAATTAATCGAAGAATATGCGATTGTTTTTAATCTGTTGTTCATAATCTATTGTTACAAATGGCATTCACCTTCGATTCACCCCATATGACGTGAACTAAGAATAAGATTCAGTCCGAAAGAAAAATGTCGTCTGCTCGTCCTTATTTCGCGCCATTTCTCTCAAAAATTTGATAAAAGTGTTTTGTTTTCTTGCATTTCTATACTATTTAGACTATCGATGCCATTCCTGTTTTTTCAATTCGTTCATAATTTTACCCTCTTATGCTAAATTATGCATTTTAAAACATGGCCACCATGGGTTTTTGTTCTTGGATTCCTAATAATGATTTCCTATCAAAATATGATTTTATACATTTAGATAAAACATAGCCTTCCATAATTTTGCTCATAATATCGGATTTCATTTTTTGATATTTGGAGTTTGTCAAAAAGAATCAGGTCAAGATTTTTAGCAGGTGTACACGAGGAACAGAATTTGATTTTGAAAATATTTATTTTTGTTTGAATAAAATGTAAGAAAACGCTGTCTGTTATTTAGTCCGTTCAACCATGTTAAATGGTTTACTTATTTGTTTTGATTTATCATTTTAATGATGATTTATTCATCATTTTATTGATAAGATTTACTTTTTGTGTATATTCTATTCCATACCCCTTGTATTAACATCGGGTCTTATTTTATTAAGAAACCTTGCCCTAAGTGAACTTAAAAAAGAAAATAGTACGACCCACAAACAGGTGATATTTATTTATTTATCATTATTTACATATTTAACTACATGCTAATTTCTTATTGTGTGCTAAATTTATTTCTCTATATGAGTTTTAGTTTACAGAAAACCTTGACCTTAGTCATTTAACTTTAAAAAAGGAGCCCGACCTAAGAGCAGGTGAAATCTAAACACCTGGCAATATCGATGAAACAATAAAAATATTTTTTGAATAAATCAATGTTGAAAAGGTAGTTTCATTATCCATAAACATAATGAACAAAATTATATTTTAATGTGTTCAATTAAGAGTGTAATTAGTTGAAGTTTGTCATAAATTCCTCTAGTCAATGGATGACGTCATAATGGTGATCATGCCTATTTCACGCAATTTTCGGAAATTTGAATACACTGCGTGAATTTATACTACTTACATTTAGTGCAATATATGTATTTATTATGCAATATGCATCTCACATTTAGTGCAATATATGTATTTATTGTAATATTTGTTTTCAACCATATACATTGTGTATTTCACATTTAGTGCAATATTCATATTTATTGTAATATTTGACCATAGGCAACATGCTACTCACATTTAGTGCAATATATGTATTTATTATGCAACATGCTACTCACATTATTAAGTGCAATATATGTATTTATTGTTATATCAGTCTTCGACCATATGCATGATACAATTCACATTTAGTGCAATATTTGTATATATTGTAATTTTTGACCATATGCAACATGCTACTCTAATTTAGTGCAATATATGTATTTATTATGCAATATCCATCTCACATTAGGTGCAATATATATATGTATTGACAATATGATTCCATAAACTGCTTATTTATGCCAAACTGATTAATCAGAGTTGTGAATTTTTATCATTGGTTATAAATGTATAATTCTTTACCAGAGACATTCCAGAGACATTATATGTCTCTGTCTTTATGAATGTTGACCCAAGCTGCCCATTGGGGGTAGTAATGGGTGACACTCAGATATAATGTATACTGTGTCTCATAAGTCGGCACCGGCTGGTGATGTTACAAAATGTTGTTTTTATTATGTATTTTATATGTATATTGTAATATCAGTGACACAAAAATCACTATTTTAAATTAAACTAAAACTAAACTAAAACTTTAGCGTTTCTTTTGAAAATTTTGCTATTTTGGGTTATATAGTCAGCATTTCTTTTGAATAACAAATACTCCGATATACTAACATCGATTAGTGTTCTATTGATTGTATGCCGGTGTAAAAGGGTAGGAGGTCCTATCAAATTATGGTCCTACTTTCCATTGATTTATATGGTGACCTAAATACAACTCCTTCCCTTATTATCGTATCCACAATCAGGGTCAGTAAGGGCCTATAAGAAAGGGGACCATAATCCCCAGGGGACCATCATTTCTTTTACACCGGTTTTGTGATTATGACCACAGTATGTATTGGGATTATATAATCAGTCTAGGCTCAATACCCAAAGAATGGTATTTGTATGGTTTATGGGAGTTTAACAAACATATTTTCACCTGTTGCTATTTTGTTTTAAATAACAAGGGTAATCGGAGCACTTCCTGGTGTAAAACGTTCCTTCATTATTCACGGTGGCTATTTTAATTTAAAACCCTTCGTAAAATTTCATGACATTCCTATATTTTACGATAAGAAAATTGAAGCGGGTTTCGCCAGAAAATCGTTTAAGCAAATTGTGACACCTTAATTGTATTTAGGTTTTTGATTTAGGCGAGGAATGGCGCGAAATTAGCATGGGCAGACGATGTAGGAAGCGTTATGGGAAGGACGATAGAATGCTGATTAAGTGCGGGGCGGACTTGAGCAAAGAGGGACACAAATGGGTAGTGTGCCTTAAAAGCTATTCGGTCCCGTAGTAACCTTCGATCTTGCTGTAAGTGAAGTCATTCCGGCACATTAATTGGTTCAAATTGATCAGGTGGTCGTGTAATGCATGATGGGAGTTTGCTTGACAACTTGTTGTTCTTCCTGTAAAGTATTTATTGTCCGCCAGGCTTAATGTCCGCTTAACTAATGTCAATAGGCCCCCAGACCCAAAATGCGTATATGTTTGTAAAATTGTACAAAATAAATAAATTGTACTTAAGTCATTCTTTCCTAAGTCTCTTGTCGCCCCCCCCCCCTCCACCCCCTCCCTATGCGACTCCCAAATGTGCTAGAGAGAATGGGGGGTTGGGTCAACACAAGACTGAGATACAGACTATACAAACCCGGGAACCGGTATACAAAAATGACACGTATAGGACGACATGTGGTCGTGGCGGTCTTGGGATATAAATTCAAAGAAACACAAAATACTGATTTACAGTAGTTCATAGTTCACTTGAAACTTTATTAAACTCATAATGACTGCTGCGTAACACTATGATAAACTTTGAACTATAATTATGGTTTTATATGAAGGGGTTGATAGGTCATCCCCCTCTATTGAAGATACCGGGGAGCGGGTAATGAGGGGTAGGTGTATTATATAAGAAACCCGGGCCAATATTGCACCACTGAGCACCTGTCCGTTCTGTTGCAATAAGTAGTACTTTTGAAATATTCTGTCAAGTTTTCTGCCCCTTTAGCTTTATTTTTTTCAAAATAAATATTGTATGAACTCAAGTATTCAAAAAATGTTCCCTTCTTCTTGACAATTTTTTGCATTAGTTTCTGCATTAGTGTATAAGACGGTTGCAGAATTTGAGAATTTCCTCTTCTAGGTATACATTTGATGTGAGTATCATCATTGGTGAAAATTTGATTTGAAAATGAAATTCCTTGTTTCAAGATATTGCAATGCATGCTGAAACGCTTTGCATATTTAAAGAGAATTTATCAAAATATTCAAAATGTCACAAAACTGGAAATGTCTTCATTATTTCGTGCCCAGGCATTTTACAGGGAGGTATAAATATTACCACATTCTATAATGGAAGCCATTTTCAAGAATTATATTCTCGTCAATGAGATTTTAATTGCCCTAACAGGTTAATGTGGAATGAAAGTTTATTGTATGAAAACTTGAGGGGCCGTTGAGTATAGATGCCCAACAATAAAAGGCTATAATTCAAACGTGAAGTATAAAAGCAGGTGGAACAGTGTGTTTGTCCCATGATTCTCCAGCCTTTCATTTTCAAGTGTCAATATCAATTGGTTCAGAATGATCACGTGGTATATATTTTAAAGTCGGGTGTCATACCTCTTTTGTATACACAGGAGACTGAGTGTCTGGGAAGAGGAATATTATTTCTGAAAAGAATAAAAGATGATAAAAGCAAAGTGTGAGGTTTTACACTTACTCCTTCAATACAAGTTATCTCCCTTTAGAAAAACACACCCTTCATGAGAACACCCCTGGAGAACACCCAATTTCTCTCTTTTAAACTATCACCATGCATGCTCGTAACTCTAAGCACAAAACATATCGTTTGTGTATATTATCGATATCATAACTTGATTGAGTTCTAAATGGCCATTTCGGAGTTTAGTTTTGTTAAGGGTAGGTTACATTCCTTATTGACTCTAGCAAGCAATATGTCTTCGATATGTTTACCTACTTGAAGTATATCTATAGAAGTTATAATAGTCGTGATCATGATTACATTCTTCTAATGCTCCATAAAGTCTAGGCACTAAGAGATCAAAAACATAAACCCAAACTTTTTATTGTCTGCGAAAACTAAGTAACAACCGACTATCAATATATAATAATGTTTGCTTGTTTGTTTTGGTTTTGCTTTTTCGGATTTACCTATGATCGGTTTGTGGTCGAAGGAGAACTTGAAAAGCGGGAGCACAATAGAGTATTTCAAACGGAGTCATAGAGTCTGGTTGGAATACTTTGCGGTCAGGCGTCAATAGAATCTTCACACTAGCACCTTGCTTCATATCAACACAGAACAAAACAGCAATACATTTATTAATTTTTATTTTGACAAGTTTATGCTGTTTCGGTTCCGTGTTTTGTTGTTCTGTTGTTTGTGGGGTAAAATGAAGTTGTTGGGTTGAATGAGCGTTGTATTCATTATCTGGCCCACAGTGTATTTCACCTGTCCCCATGTCTCTATGTCTGCTTTGTGAACATTGTTCATTGAAGTTCCACAAATTCCACACATACTGCAATATGCCTATACACAGTAATGAACCTTGCTGTACACCGCCAACGGTTGTCCTCGTCTAATTATACACGTTACGTCACCACCAGAGATCATCAAATGCCTCTCCAAAATCAACATGTACGCTATTAGAATTTCACTGTAAACAAAAAGTAATTTCCCTATTGGATTTAATTTCTAATTACATACCGTGGTTACACATGCTCAAAAAGTGTTTTTCTTACTAAATACTAATTAAATTGTCAATCAAGATGTTGTTAAATATACATTGATTTAATTGAAAATCGGAATGAATTCCCTTATAATCATTGGCATCGTATATCATTAAGTATATGTTGTAATGTAATTGAAGAGAAATAATTGTTTTATCGATTAGTGTACCAAGGAAGGCATGAACGACATTTCAAAAAACGATCGCAAAACCTTTTTATATTTATGGAACACCTGACTGTATTTCCCGCTAAAGATTCATTGTTTTCATCAACTACAAAACGAGACAGGTGAATAGCCTGTTTACATTTTCATCAACATTTTATTATTTATTAATGATGGCCAACAACATGCTTTCTCTTTTTATAGATCCTTCAAACTAAATATCCTGCCGCGTCCAATATTTTATGTTTTGTTTCCATGGATACGCGTTGCCCATTTGTTTAAGCCAGAAAATTAATGTTTTAAAATAGTTGAAAATATTTATACGAAATTTTTTGATTAATTCCAATGTCTTATGCGTATCAATTTTGATATGTTTCTAAAAATTGTTCAGTTTTAGATTTTAACAAAACGTAATACTAATTTCAAATTTTAAAAATCAAGATCGGGTATCACTGCTATGGCTGCTATAGAAAGCATCGAAATACCCTCCCCTGGCCTGGACCAAGGATGATGATGAGAGTGAGCAGTACCACCATGGTCATCATTGCCTTTTAGAATTTCCGGACAATTAGAATTTCCTTGCCTAATTCTACACTCCCTGCAAAAAGTTTGACAAACATAAGCTCCCTCTCGGACCAATGTTAGAATTTGCCTTGTTATGTTTGACGATTTTTACAAATGCAGCTCATTTTCCAACCTATTGTTATTTAAAACAAGATTCTGCTTTAAGACATACTTTAATTAACATATTGCTATCAAGTAGGGCTTCTGACTAGGCCTACCAACCTTAATATGGAGAGGGTGTAGATTTAGGCCGAGAGCGCAGTCTTTTATTTTCAGTTTTCTGTAGATCGGAATGTGATGATAAGAATCAGGTTTTGAAAGATTCATTATTAAGATGTTCAACCACAATGTGGCGAGATATCGGTGTATATGTTACCTCGATCAATATTTAATCATCTGAATTATAAATTAAACTTTTTGAACAGGAAGAAAAGACTTAATTTTGGTTTCTCAATCGTGGTCCTTCTTTTAACTTAAACACTTAGTTTCATCATCAGTAGCAATTTCAAATATCAATTCTCCCTGTGTATACGTACTTATCATTGATTGGGGCTCTTCTTTGATTATTTTTTCTGCATCATTTTGTAAGGTATTTTATGTAAGGGCCTAATACATATTGACGACACCTGTACGATCAATTTCTTTAGCTCTCTCAAGCAACAGGTTTTTCCATTCTTAACTAATTGAAAGCCAACTTCACTTGAAATTAATTAGAAAAAATCGAAGACGGAATATATGCATCTCATTTTGGACATATGTGGTTTAGAACGTGTACATTAGAGTGCTTGAATAATTAAATTGAAATTAAAATGAACTTGTTGTAAAATCCTTTGTATGGACATGTATGGATCCATGGTTATGTGGGTAACAGTTGTTGCAAAAAACAAAAGGCCAATTAGCTACTTAGCTTTCTCATACGACACACCTTTTTACTTCTTACGTATTTATTACTGAGATTTTTAATGTTAAGAAATTAGACCGTTTTTTATAAATTGCTGTCATTACAATGTTGGATTAATCTTTTCATTTGTATTAGAATCCGAACACTTGTGCTGATCCATGTATGGATTTATTCATGTTTTCAAACTTGTATCATGATTGAAATACAAATGAGGTATCAAATAATGAGATGCAAAAAGTGATTTCTTTTTTATGAATTATTGAAAATGCAATCAATTTGTCAGGTAATTGAATTCAGTAAAACGATGATACGCTGTATTGTTTTCATATGGTTTCTAGGGGTTCCAATTATTTCAATTGTGCATTTTCACTTTGGTTTCTTTTGATCTATAGACTTTAATAGTGTATTATCAATATTCTTTAAATCCTAAAAAATTGTCTATTTTTAATTTTGCAAGTCACGTGACTGAAATAAACCAATCATACATGACATTTTAAGATATACGCATGCGCAGTTGATCTTTGACACATCTGAATGGAAGTGGTATTATTTCTTCGCCATTAGAACAATAATTAGCAACTAGCGTTATTATTTAATTAATTGGATGAACAGTTGTGTTATATGGGCGGTACCTTGAAGCAATAACGGCTCTTAATTACAACGATCGTAATTGTATCAGTTAAGATATTAAGATCTGGCGAAGTGTGGAATTTAGATGAAACTCTGAGCCTAATAAAGACGCCCATGGGCCGGTAGCCATGAGGGGGGTGTTCCAAAAATTCTTTCAGAATGATGCAGTTTTCACCATTCTGAGTGATTTTGGGCCAGAATTGTAAAACGTGAACCCCCCTGGATTTCTTTTTAAAAAGTGGCATTTTTGCATAGCAACAAGTAGATAAGAGTTAACCCTCTCTGATGAAAGTTGCTGTGTGGTTTCATCATATCACCTTGACAATGTGTGCATCACCATGACAATATGTGTAATCACTTTGCAGTATATTGTCCAGCCACCGTTAATAGTCGATGGGACAGCTACTTATTCAGATGATGTCTCCATTAACAAGTTGTTAACTAACTGTTTAAATAGCATCTTTTTGTTAGATGTGGGGGGTATAGTGGCCCTCCGTGGGTATTATATCAAGTGACTTTAATTAATGCTTTTACAACTGGATGTCCATTTATCAAACAGGTTATAAAGAGGATAGATTGCTCTAAACATATTTTTGGGCCCATCACACTTAGGAGTTTGACAAAATGGCGTTTTCAAATTTTACTTCTGGACGCATCTTGATTTATGTTGATGAAAGTTGATAAACTCTTTTCAAAACCACATTTTAAGATGTAATTTTACATGTAGATTTCAAATACGACGTTTGCCTGAATTTTGAATGACGTAAATCAAGATTCTTCTTCTCACATCTTGTCTATTAGGCTTATGTAAAATCCGACTGAAAGAAAAGGTATGTCCCTTTACCGAAAAAATCAACATATTTCAAGTTCTGATAACATGTCAGATTTGAGCCGAATGTGTTTCGAAAAAGGGACCTGATTTTCGATTGGGGTCTGTACGATCTGTACACTAACAGAAACACTGGACGCAAGATATAATTTTGTGAGAACAACTGTTATGTAAAAATAGCCTCTCCATCTACCATGTCTAAAACAGCGTGTTGTATGTCAGGAACACAGTTACAGAGCAGGTTTATAATAAAAAGCTAATATAGTACCTTTCATCACAGTCTATTACACACATTTCATGATGATAATTATGATCGAATAACAAACCACAGGTTAATTGTATGAATATTTAATGTAACCACTGAGAAAATTGTCTTAATTTTTGTTTTGAAGTTGTATAATTGTAGTTACTTTTGCATGTAAAGTAATGGGTCGGGAATGTTGGACTTTTTGTAATTATCTAAAAAATTGCACTTATATGTAATAAAGAGTTCTTTTTATCCTTTTTAGTACCTGTTGATTTCGCATCACCGATAAAGAGTGATAGAATTTTACTGCTAGCGGTTTGATCTCAGAGTGTAAAAGATGATAGCTGGCTGAAAATCGTGTCCGTTTAAATTACAAACTGGCTTAAAAAGTATTCTACCCTGCGCGCAGAGTCTAGTTAAACTAAGCTCTCTTTTAAAAAGTGAAGTCAAACGAATGCAAAGGGTTAAAGTATTCAGAAATCTCTGATGCCCTCGCTACCCCATAGACCATCCTCCCCTTACCACTTACGTCAAATTGGTAAATGTAAGACTTACAGGAATTCGAAATACCTCTTGACTCAAGTCTCTGGAACCCCCCCCCCTCTTACCTTCTCCAGCACCATTTGGGGAGGTACGTAGAGGGGGACTGAAATAAACTGATATAATGAGTCTATAAACATCAAGAATATATCCTGTTCCATTTCCAAAATCATGTTTTAGACGATCTAGAATTTAGGGAGGGGTTTTGGCTGCAACCGTGTTGTACTTGTTGAATTGATGTAATACTATTTAAAAGACAAAATCTGGAACAAAACCTATTAGAGTCCAACTTAATGTATCCAACTCGACTTTGTTTATTTGTTTTGTGAGTATTTCCACCACAAATAGGAACAGAAAATAAATTCGCGTGCCGCTGTTAGACATAATGCTTTTACGATTGTTATTGAAAACTTCCGTTTGTTCGAGAAACATTTGCTTTCACTTACAATGAGTACATATCCACTTATTTTAAGAATTCTTTTTTTTGTCTGACTAAAGTTATTTCTGTTTAACTTTTATAAATAGATTATTAAAATCAGCACGTGGTTTCCTTGTATCGCGTGCGCAAACAAGGATGTATCACACAATTACTTGGATCAGTCTATCAGATTAAAAATCTTTCCGCCAAATTTTTGTAAAACCTGTTTTTGCGTCTATTGTGTCGTTAATTAGCATTTGTCTAAGAGTATAATGTTAATGCTGGTATGCGCACGCCTATTTGATTAAATGTTGATTAAAATATTAATTAACAACAATTGTTTATTGACATCTTTGAAACTTTAATAAAGTGAAGAAACGTGTTACACCTTCAAGTTACCACATTGCGCACCAAGACAAGTGATACTACACCCCCAATCCGCATCATCATCTTGCAGCGCTGTACAGCGCTGTTTGCAGCGCTGTACAGCGCTGTATTAACAGTACAAAACAGTACAATTTGAGTACCGCGCT